AGTGGGTGTCACTATTAAAGTCACAGGAGACAACCTGGTCTTCAGTGTATCCCAGAATGCCCTTGAGGGGTCCTTCTGATGCCTGCTTTACTACTTTCTTGATGTCATCATATTTGGCAGCTTTCTCCAGACAGCACACAACTGACACACTGGGGGTGGGGACACGGAAAGCCATGCCGGTAAGTTTCCCATTCAGTTCAGGGATGACCTTGCCCACGGCCTTGGCAGCGCCAGTAGAGGCAGGGATGATGTTCTGGGCAGCTCCACGGCCATCACGCCACAGCTTTCCAGAGGGGCCATCCACAGTCTTCTGGGTGGCAGTGATGGCATGTACTATGGTCATGAGTCCCTCTACAATGCCGAAGTTGTCATGGATGACCTTGGCCAGGGGAGCCAAGCAGTTGGTAGTGCAGGAGGCATTGCTGACAATCTTGAGAGAGTTGTCATACTTTTCATGGTTCACGCCCATCACAAACATGGGGGCATCAGCAGAAGGAGCAGAGATGATTACCCATTTGGCACCACCCTTCAAGTGAGCCCCAGCCTTCTCCAAGGTTGTGAAGACACCAGTGGACTCCACAACATACTCAGCACTAGCATCACCCCACTTGATGTTGGTGGGATCTCACTCCTGGAAGATAGTGATAACTTTCCCACTGATGACCAGCTTCCCATTCTCAGCCTTGACAGTGCCGTTGAACTTGCTATGGGTGGAATCATATTGGAACATATAGACCATGTAGTTGAGGTCAATGAAGGGATCATTGATGGCGACAATATCCACTTTGCCAGAGTTAAATGCAGCCCTGGTGACCAGGCGCCCAATGCGGCCAAATCCGTTTACTCCGACCTTCACCATCGTGTCTCAGGGATGCGGCTGAGGCTGCACAAGAAGAGAGGGCAATCTGGATCGACGAGGAGCAGAGAGCCGAACACAGTGATTTTTATGAATTCTCTATATGGGACTACATATATTGTGGCTAACCTTGAGAAGAATAGGAATCCTAGAACACTTAATTGTGCTTATGTGAAACCAGAGTTGGACCAGGAAGCAGTAGTTAGAACAGAGCAGAGAAACACGGCATGATTTAGGATCAGGAAAAGTGTGCATCAGGGATACTCAGGGATATATTTTCAATCTATATGCCAAACAGATCACTCGCAAGGCTGGACCTTATGAAGAGGAATGTGGCATCAGGATTGGAGCAAGACTCATAAATAACCTGTGTTATGCAGATGATACAACTTTGCTTGCTGAAACTGAGGAGGACTTGAGACATATGCTGCAGAAGGTCAAGGATTGTAGTCTTCAAAATGGATTGAAGCTCAACATCAAGAAAACAAAGATTCTCACCAATGGACCAATTAGATAGATGGAGAAAAGCTGAGATGGTTGTTAATTTCCACTTGCTCAGCTCTACAATCAACACTCTTGGCACCAGCAGTCAGGAAATCAAATGACAAATTGCATTGGGAAAGTCTGCTCTCAGGGATCTTTCCGAAGTGCTAAAGAGATGTTGGTCTAGAGACTAAGGTGTGCCTGATTCAGGCCATGGTCGTTGCAGTTACCTACTATGTGTCAGAGAGCTGGACAATGACTAAAGATAATGGACAAAAAATTGATGCCTTTGAGTTGTGGTGCTGGAGAAGAGTGTTGAACATACCATGGACAGCCAGGAGATCAAATAGGTCAGTCTGGGAGAGTGAAACCAAGCTGTTTCCTGGAGGAGCTCTGTCTTACATACTTTGGGTATATGACCAAGAGGGACCAGTCTTTGGCAGGGTGGAGGGATAGCACAGAAGAAGATGACCCTGGATAAAGTGAATTGACACAGTAACTGGGGCAATGGGATTAGATGTGCTGGAGTCAGTGAGACTGGCTCAGGATATGGCAGGTTTCATAGGGTCCCTATGAGTCACAGGCGACTCAATGCCACACAAAACCAACAACATCATTTAAAGTGCTAAAGAGCAAGGATGTCAGTTTAAAGACCAAGGTATGTCTGACCTAAGTCATATATTGTTTTGTATGCTTCTGAAAGTTGGAAAATGAATGATGAAGACGGAAAAATAGATGATGCCTTTGAATTGTTGGGTTGGAAAAAAGTATTGACTAGATCATAGGCTGCTGTGGTGTTAGCTTTTCTAGCCATTATATTAGCTTCTCTGGTCTCCAGCTACCTTGGGACACATGGACTTGCAAATCATCAACAGCTGTGAGACTAGGATAAGAGAGAGAGTGATTCCTATACTGAGCAGGAAGAGTTGAGGGAGATTAGAGCAAGACTTTGGTGAGGACAAGTACCTGGTGGTGATGGTGGTGGAGAGACTGTGGCATTGTTGTGGAGAGATTGTGGCAAAGTGTAACCAGAAGAGTCCTAAGAGAAAAGTCAAAGGCTTTGTTGTTCTTACTGAATGACTGAAGGAAAAGCTGACTGCTGAACTCAAATCAGAGCCTGGACTAATTGAGGAACTGTAACTTGGGACTTCTGGGCTAAAACCTAGACATGTATTGGGTGATATTCTGTGCTCCCCCATTTTCCAACTTACTTCCCTAATAAACCTCATTCTGGGTACCACGGCTGAGAGTGAACAACAAATATCAGACCCAAATGAATGGTAGAAAGGGGTGCAGGAGCATGGAGGGTGCTGGGTCTGATCAAGCAGATGTCTATTTGCTGCTGTGGATATTATTGATGGGGACAGTCCCCCTTATTGGAGTGAGCAGAAGTCAGACTCAGCCACTGCCACCCTCAGAGTGCATCTACTCCCCGCAGAGTTGCCAAAACAAGCAAGTCTACTTTGAAAGAAGTACAACCAAGATGCTCCTTAAAGGCAAGGATGGTGGGGTTTTGTCTCATAAATCTTAGGCAGGTTTTCAAGAGAGGCCAGTTCTTGGATTGTGCTGGGAAAAGTAAAGGGCCAGAGAGGAAGACCCTCAGTGAAATGGACTGGCACAGAGACAGCAACAGTGGCTTGAGCATGGTGGAGACTGTGAGGATGAACAGCATAGGGCAGTATTTTGATCTCTTGGTCACAAGATTACTACGAGTTATAATTGACAGCATATAACAACAACATATGGGTTTACATGACCACAACCATTTGAAAATTTAGATGGAAAGCTTAGGGGCTGTGGCTTTATGTTAATGAGAGAGAAACAATTCAGAAAGGGTGAGAGGGTTAAGAATGACTGACTGCCCAACTTAAAGAATTTCATCTATGTCACTGAACTGTACATGAAAAAAATTGAATAGGTGTATGTTTTGCTGTGTATACTTTCTACCACAATAGAGAAGAAAAGAAACAAGATTGGACCATTTAACCCAAAGATGATAAACTACTTGACGCATCTCTCATACCAACGCTAAACCCCTTCCAGACATCAATAATTGACTCCTGCAAAATATCTGCAAACTAACCACAGTTCTCCTAGCAGACATTATGAATCAATCTGTTTGCACGAGAGATACTAAACTTCCCACCACCTTAGATCTCAATCATGTTGATTACTAATTTCAAGGAAGAGGAAAGTGAGGTTCAGAGACGGGAGGTCTCTGTCAGGGTTTACAGAGCTAGGAAGCAGCAGGACAGAGCCAAATAGGAGGTTGCCTGCCCCCTGCCCCGTTTTCTATTTTATTGTCCTATTTTACACCATCCTGTCCTTCTGAGGACTTGCATTTCTTCATAGCGCAACAATGTGGCCACAAAGATGTGACTGTTGTTTTATTCCTGATAGTTAAAGACAGAAAGAAACCCAAATAACCAACAGTAGAGCAAGAACTCATTAGAACTTGAGCTATTTACAAGCAGCAATGATATTGTGGAAGAATATTTAATGGCACAGAACGATGTTCACAAAATACTGCTAAGTAAGTGGTAAAAAGGTTTCCAAACTGCAAGTAATGAATACTAATGATAATAGCTGACACATAATGTTTACTCTGCACCAGGCTGCTGGAAATTAACTCCCTTGGTCCTCCCAACAAGCCCCTGCATTCTGCTTACCCCAGTGTTACAAATGAGGAGCCCGACACCCAGAATGGTTGAGCTAGCTTTCTTGAGGCACATAGTGTGCAAGTGGTAGAGCCAGGATCTGAACCCAATCCCGATCTACTTACCTTCAAAGCTCCAGTATTTTTCTCAGTCTTTTCACTGTTGTAAAAAGGCAATCGGTATGTACTATTGAGTCAGAATCAACACAGAGCTGACCCTCCTTTCTGTGTGAGTCTCTACCCAAGTCCACTCTTAGCATCCTCCTATAAGCCTTGTCCATTCCTCCCTTGCCAAATGCTGTTCCAGCCCGTAGTGGATACTGTCTTTTGCTCTCAGCCTTTGGATCCACTGCTGAGCCACAGAGCAATGGACTGTCCCACCTGGTCCCAGGGTTCTTTCCTTCCCCCCATCCCACCCAAACCTGGCACCCACCTCGATTTTGCTGTTGTACACCAGGATCTCCAATACAGAGGCCTCTTCCCCACACGTGTCCAGAGAGGAGAGGTCATAGAGCGAGGAGTACACAGGCCCGTAGGCCCAGTCCTTGAACTTGCGGGATAGGTGTCGCGTGTCCTCATCTGTCACCTCCCTCCGGATGATGTGCTGGAAGATCTGGCCAGGAAGAGTCAGGAGTTCAGAAGGCCTCCACACTGGCAAGACCCCAGGGTGTGGGCATCTGCACACTGGTGTCTCCCAGAACAGAGCCGAAAGGAGACAGGAATGTTTACTGAGCACCTACTGTGTGCCAAGCTCCTTCCTCACATCATCTTGTTCACACAGGAGCAAAGGGAGGCTCCAAGATGCAAGAAGGTGTTACCAGAAGCCACACAAGAAGCTCCCCTTTGAACCCAACCCCACAGCCATCAAGTCAATGGCAATTCACAGATACCCTCTATCAGGTTTCCAAAGCTGTTTATCTTCACAAGAAGAAACTGTATTTCTCCTTCAGATCATCTGGTGGATTTGAACCGCTGACCTTTAAATTAGCACCACAATATGTAACCCACCAAACCACCAAAATTCCTTCTGCCTTGAGCCGAAGCGAGTTGTGATAATCTTAATCACTGTATTTTTTTAAAAAATTAAAATGGCAGTCTTGTTACTAGTTGTCGTCAGTCAATTCTGACTCATACGACAGATCAGGACTGCTCTCTACAGTTTCCGGGGCTGTGCTCTTTCCAAGAGCAGATTTCCAGGTCTTTCCACAGGGCTGCTGGGTAGGTGAGCAGCTTTTCAGTTAGCAGCGAAATGCTTACCTACCAGCAAAGCCTTCAGGGCTCGTAGAATCCATACTCCAATGTGTTAACTCATCTTATCCAGCCTTCCTATTACTACCTCCCTATCATCGGCTTAAGGAGTCCTGGTGGCTTAGTGTTAAGGGGTCGTGCTGCTCACCCAAAAGCATGTGGTTCTAACCCAACAGCTGCTCCTCCAGAGAAAAATGGGCAGTGTCCTCTGACTGCAGTTGCTGAGATTTATATTTGGCTTATTGTTGTTGTTAGGTGCCATCGAGTTAAGTGTGATTCAAAGCAACCCTATCTGAACAACAGATCTGAACCCTGTCCTGTCCTGTGCCATCCTCATCATCTCTGACACACTTGAGCCCATCGCTGCAGTCACTCGATCCATCTCGGGGAGGGTCTTCCTCTTTCACTGACTGAAATCTTTTCCCAAGGACTGGCCCCTCCTGAAAACATGGCCAAGTATGTGAGAAGAAGTGTCACCATCCTCGCCTGCAAGGAGTGCCCTAGTGGCACCTCTTCCAAGACACAACTGCTTATGTAAAGGGAAGGTGAAGCACGGGAGGGGACGTGAATGCGACAAGTTAGAATTTAAACCCAGACCCTTTGCACTCTCAGGGCGCTGGTATAACTGTGATTTCAGTCATTCTTGTTCAAGGGGTTTTTTTGTTTGTTTTGGGTTTGGTGATTTTGGGTTTTTTTTTCACTTTTTAATAATTTATTACAACTGCTTCAGGATTCTTGCTATATTGTTTAAGATAATCATATTAATTGCTAATGTTCATTGAACCCATCTTGGACTTTTTATTACAAGCTTTATCCGGATTAGTGAATTAGTTGTTACCATATCATGATATGACAAGACACTAGTATTATTCTCATTTTACAGATAAAAAAACTGAGGCACCTGGGAAGTAAAATAAGATGGCTGAGGCCACGTGTTAGGAAGAGGTCAGCGGAATCTGATCTTGTGCCTGTGAGGAGCTTGACCCCGAAGAAATAGCTGGTTGTCAGACTGGAGGAGGGGCTTCAAGCCCAGAGATGCCGCTAAATTTCCTGTGCTGTGCACAGGATACCCCCGCCCAAGGAGTACTCAGTGTGAACTCTAGCAAAGTCAAGCAACCCTACCCTAGTCCCTGCACTGTGAGACGCCCCCAAGGGGAGGCAACCAGCAGCAAGCCAAGAGGCTGCACCCCTGACAGTGGGATGCACGGGAATTCAAGCAGGCCGGAGTCCTGGAACTCACTCAGTTCCCTGTCCCGGCTGGTTGAGGGGGAGGTGTGCATGCCATGGGATAGGATGAGAAGACGGGCTCTGCATTTAAGTTGAGCAGCTTGACTGGACAAAAGGGAGCCAAAAAAATATTAAAAAAAAAAAAAAAAAAAAGAGGGAGCCACAGCAGGTTCTTGAGCTGGGACAGCTCACACCGGGATTGATAATAAGGAGATGCAGGTAGTTTTATACACAACGAATGGCGGCGTCAGCCGCTCCTGCACGCGAACGTATGCATGTGTGTGCGTGACGCAGTGAGGTCAGCTGGGTCCCCCAGTCCTACTCACCCCAATCTTGCCCGTCTTGGCAGCCATCATGAGGGGCGAGAGGCTGTCATTGTTGAGCACGGCCTCCAGGTTGCTGTCGGGGAAGAGGCGGGCACACTTGAGCAGCAGCAGGTCGTACATCTTGGTGACGAACTTGGTGTTCTCCCGCGTGTTGTCGGCGATGGCCACCAGCGCGTGCAGCACGGTGTTCCCGCGGGAGTCCTGGCGCCGCATGTCTGCCTTCTTGTGGGGATTCTCGGTCAGGTAGTTGACGATGTGGGGCTGGTTAGTGCAGGCAGCCAGTGACAGGGGCAGCTCACCTGGGGACAAGTCAGTGTAAGCCTCCCCCCTCCCCAGATGGAGCGCTGCCTGAGGGTCCTCCGGGAACCCTGGGAGTCTCCAGCACAGCACTAAGCAAGGCACTTCGTTGGGGGTGGGGGGTGAGGCGCTGTCAAGTAGACTCATAGTGATCCTGTGAACAACGGACCTGAATCCTGTCCCATCCTGTGCCTTCATCATCATCTCCTGAGCCCATTGCTGCAGTTACCATGTTAATCCATCTCCTGACTTTTGCCGACCTTCCACCTTTCCGAGCGTGTGTCCTTTTCCAAGAAATAGCCCCTCCTAACGATATGGTCTTTGTAATTACTTGCTATGCGTCAGAAAGCTGAAGAAAGATTAGGGATGACAGGAGGAGAACTGATGCCTTTGAACTGTGGTGCTGGAGAAGAGTGTTGGATATATTCAATATACCATGGACAGTTAAGAAAACAAACAGGTTCTTTTGGAGGCAAGAATTCTGGAGCTTCATCTGACTTACTTTGGACGTGTTGCAAGGAGGGATCAGTCCTTGGAAAGGAAGACCCTTGATGAGATGGATTGGCTCAGTGACTGGGGTAATGGGAGTAAGTGTATCAGAGACAATAAAGTTGACTCAGGATAGAGCAGGGTTCAGAGCAGTTGTACATAGAGTTGCTATGAGTCACAGGTGACTTGACAGCACAGAACAACAACAACATATCCAAAGTTTGAGAGACAAAGCTGTGGGCAACATCCTTGCCTCCAAGGAGCACTCTGGTGGCACCTTTTCCAAGACATACCTGTTCATTCTTTTAGCAATCCATGGACTCTTCTCCAACATCCCAACTCAAAGACATCAAGGAGAGGTGTCTATTTGAGGGGTGTGAAATTGAGGGTCTGTAAGTGCCAGAGCTGTCATTGAGTGATGCATACAGTTAAGTACTCAGATGTTAGCCCAAAGGTTGACCATTGGAGAGCACCCAATGGTGCCTGGAAAGAAAGGCCTGGTAATCCATGGCCAAGACACCAGTCACTGGAAACCCTCCTAAGAGCAGGTGAGAGTAGCATTACAGCTCAGTGCCACTGAATTGTGCACAGAGAAAGTGTTGCATCAGTGCAAAGCATGTTTTGCTGTATATTCTCAACAACAGCAATAAAAATAAACTATCTTTTAAAATTTTACCTGGGGGGATGGGGAAGAGAGGGCAAGGGGATAAAATGTGCAATAATAAATGAATGAAAATCTAACTTCTATGTCAATGTTCATTAAAATCACAATTAAAATAAAATTTTATTTTAAAAAATAAAATAAAATCTCCCCCAGGGCAGGGGGAAGACCCCTTGACAAGTATAGCCAGATCTCTAACATACATTCCAGACCTCCAGTCTTCCCCTCTCGTCCCACTGCCACCTTATACCTGATCATAATTCTATTTCGAGATTGCTACGTTCTATCCCGATCCACCCACCTGGAGCAGGCTAGCACCTTGGAAGACATGCTAAAGATGGCAGTCTCTCAAGGCAGACAGAAAAATATTTAAGAAAAGGAACATACTGCTTTTCTGTACTGTCAAGCCAGAAGCAAACCCCAGCTGTCCCTCCAGCAGGTTTTCAGAGCTGGTACGGGGCACAGGAGAAGACTGCCCATCTTTCGCTGCCAGAGTACCTGATGGATTTCAACCGCGCCTTTGGGCTGGCTGTGCAACTCCTTAGCACTAAGTCACCAGAGCTTAAAAAGAATTACACATAATCTGAAATAGGCTCAAGTATGTCAGAGCTGATGAGGACGGCACAGGACAGGACAGGGCTCAGATCTGTTGTACATCAGACTCCACGGCGCATAACAACAACAACAACCTAAAAACCAAACAAAAACTAAGGCTGTTGAGTGCAGTTTGATCTGACATACGTGTGTTGACTGGACAGCGAGCGAGGAGTGGGGCTTACTTGAGGATGAAAACTCTGTCTCTGGGACCCACACGGCACATGAATGTGGTCAGAATTGAGCAAGTACTGTGGTTGGTCCAGCCATTTGGGCACAGTGGGGACAAGGACTGGGCCCAATGGTCTGATGGTCCACCTCGGAGTCCCTGGGCTGCAGGACACACAGTGAAAGGCGCTAGGTGCTGAGGACACATCAGATCCATCCCTGCTCTTCTCTCCTCTAGGTTCCTATGAGCCCATTGAACGGATGGGGAAGCAGAGGCTAGAAAGGGTGAGGTGCCACCCTGCTAGTCACGTAGCTGACCCAGGGCCACATATCAGCCTTCCAGCTGCCCCCTCTTCACAGCATAAACCCAGGACACAAGACAGAGATGCCTCTGGCTTCAGGTGGAGGGGAGCTCTGAGTCCTTGGGGGTCAGTGCTGTGGTCAAAGCTGCTCTAGGTGCCTGGGGAGCTGTCGGGACTCTGGGCATCAGCCTCCATCGGGCTCCTTCTCACCAAAGTAGAAGTAGCCCCCTTCATCCTTGGGTTGGAAGAAGCGTCCTCGGGCCTGGGCATGGACATCTGCCCCCCGCGCCACCAGGAGCTCCACGTAGTGTTTGCAGCGGCGTTCAATGGCGATGTGCAGGGCAGTTTGACCTGTGGGGAACAAGTGGACAGTCAGCTGGGGCAAAATCCCTACCAGGCCTTGCTCTTGGCTGCCTAGAAGTCCAGTGGTCCACAAGCTGTGACTTTTGGAAGCCTTTCTTGCAGGCACCTCTGAGTGGGTTTGAGCCATCATCAACCTTTTGGTTATTATTCAAGGACTCAACCATTTACATAACCCAGGACATTCCTTAGAGAGCTCTGGTGGTCCAGGGGTAAGGACCTCTGCTGTCAACCCAAAGGCACACATCAAATCTACCGGCTGCTCCACAGGATGGCTAGTTCCCTCCCACGCAATTTACTGCCTTTGAAAATCCACTGGAGGGTCAGTTATGGGCCAGTTCCAACTGGATAGCAAAAAACAACAGGCTATTCCCTACCAGGTCTAGAGGGCAGAACAGTAGAGAAAATAAAGATGAAGCCCCAGCCTGAAGGCAAGAAACCAAGTTTCAGACTTCCCCAAAATTCAGCTTTTGGTTCACACAGGACTAAGTATCTCATTGGGCAAAATCTGCTGCTGAGAACTTCTGTAAGGTGGTCAAGAGCAAGGATGTCAGTTGAAAGACTAAGGTGCACCTGCCCAAAGCCCTTAAAGTTTAACAATGAATAAGGGAGGCCAAAGAGGAATTGGTGCCTTTGAGTTGTGAAGAGTACTGAATAGGCCACAGCCTGTCCAAAGAACAAACAGATCTGTCTTGGAGGAAATGCACCCAGGGTGCTCCTTAGAAAGGAAGGATGATAGGACCTCATCTCACATACTTTGGGCATGTTGTCAGAAGCACAAATCCTTGGAAAAAAATGCTATCCTGGGAAAAGTAGAGTGGGCTAGTGAAAGAAAGCCATGACACGGTGACCGGCAAGGGGCTTGAGCATGCAGAGATGGGGGGGATGGGGCAATAGAGAGGGGTTTCCTGTCACCTGACCACCACAGAAGGCTCGCTGCACTGGAGGAGAGGACTTGCAGACTCAAAGGACAAACAAAAACTTGAGCCACTACAAACATGGGACCTTCAAACCTACACTCACTCCAATGGCAGCAGCAGCAACAGCATCCCAGTCACACAGAATTTGGGACCTCTTGACGTTAAAATTCTCCTACTTCGAAGTTTATTATCAAGGAATCTGAATTGTCCTCTCTGATTCATAACCTCTCAGAATTTAGAACTGGTAGAGTTCTTGGAATTGAGGTGCCCTGATCTCTTAGAGCTGTTGCCTCCCAGAATCATTATCGTGGGTCTCAGGGCATCTTAACTGTAGCATCTTAAATCCACAATTCCAGATCCATGGGTCACTAGGCTCCATGTGGCTCAAGATCTCCGAAGGTTTGATTCAAAGACACAGAATGCCAGAGTTTCAAAGGGTAATCATGGTCCCTCCCTTCCTTCATGTAGGGAGTTTGGCTGGTGCGGTGTGTTGCATGCTAGGCCGCTAAACCCACCAGTCACTCCGAGGGAGAAAGACACAGGTCTCCTTCTGTCAAGATGCACAACCTTGGGAAGCCATGAATCGATCAGACGGCAGTGGAATTGGTTGTGAGCTTCACTCATTTACTCAATATGCTAGCCCTGGAGGTGCATAGCAAAGCTCTCACAGCTAGACAAGCTGAGATGTTGCCCCCAGTATCCCCCACCCCATCCCTACCTCTCACCACACAGTGTGGGCCCCACCTCGATAGTAGACGTCCCGGAAGGGTGAGTTGATGAACTCCCTCATGTTGCCAGTGCTCTCAGCGATGTCCAGGAGCAGGGGGATGGTGTGGTTGTGGCCATGGCTCAAGTTCAGCAGGGCCTTGGGGAGGCAGGTCTTCCCCGTGGACGGCTCTAAAGGGCAGAGACAGGAAGGGTAAAGCGGGTGCTCAGTCCACCGCTCCTGGACAGCAGGCAGGGCAGGAGGGACAGAAGCACCCTGGGAGGAGAGTCCTGACTGTGTTGCACTTGGTCTCTGAGACTCAGTTTCCCATCTGCCCAATGGGATTACTCACCCTCTCACTGCTTCTCACATCACTGAAAGAGTCAAAGAGATCCATGGAGTAAAAGTGCTTTGAAATGTGGAAAACTGTACAGCTCAACAGTTAGCAAACTCTACTCTGGGGGAGTTTCTTTTTTTTCTCTTGTGATATGTATAACAAAACTGTGACCATGTCTTAATGTGTTCAATTTAGTGACACTAATTGCATGGTGTTTTCAAAAGATCAGAAGTTGCACTGAGCAAATAATGGTGTTACACTGAGCAGATCTGGGGTCAAGAACCTCTTTAAAGTGCTGGCTAGTAAGTATTCACTTGAAAGACTAAGGTGTGCCTGTCTGTCTTCATTTTCAGTTGTTTCCTATTCATCTGAAAATTGGATCATAAACAAGGATGATCAAAGAGGAGCTGATGCCTATGAACTGAGGTATTAGTGAAGAGTGTTGAATAACGTCACGAACTTACAAAACCCAGACAAGTCTGTTTTGGAGGACATATAACCAGGGTGCCCCTTGGAGGCATGGCTGGTGAAACTTCGTCTTACATACTTTGGTATGTTGTTTAGGAAGGGACAATCCTTGGGGAAAAGACATCGTACTGGGAAAAGCAGAGGGCCATGAAGAGAAGACTGTCGAGGAGTTGGATTGCCACAAAGACTGTAATAATGGGCTTTGATTGAGCACGGTAGAGAGGTGTGGATGGTGCAGGCCAGGACAAGGTTCCTATCTGCTGTTCACAGGGTCTCTGAGTTGTGGTCGACTTGAAGGCACCTAACAAAGATGCTTTCAAGTGCTTTGTATCCTTGTGAAAGTTGGACACTGACTAAGATTGAAGAAGACTTGATGCCTCTGACTTAGAAAACAGAATTGTTTCTAATTGTCTTTCCACTCCTTGGAAGATGTGCAGCTAAAGTGCTCCTTAGAAGCAAGAATGATGAGATTTTGTCTCGTATAATTCAGACATGTTGCCAGGAGGAGCCAGCCCTTGGAAAGGGACGGCATGCTTGGAAAGCAAGCATTCACTTTAAAGTCTAAGGTGCACCTGACCAGCTGGTGTCTTCAGAGAGAGCTCTGCCCTAGAGGCAGGCACTCACATTGGGGTCCAAATCCTGGCTTGGTCCCTGACAGCTGCTTCACCCTCTATAGGCTTTGGTTTCCTTCTGAGCTCAGTTGAGGCTACAAAGAGGAACCAAAGAACTAATCAAATCAAGGTTATTGATTAGTGCAGTACCAGATCGATAGGAAATCTCAGTAAAATCATTGCCATCAAGCTGAGACTGATTCACAGTGGCCCTAGAACAGAGCAGAGTTGCCCCATAGGGTTTCCAAAGCAGTCATCTTTATAGAAGTATATTGGTGGATTTGAATCATCAACTTTTCTGTCATCATCCAAACACTTTAACCGCTGTGCCCCCAGGGCTCCTTAAAGGGTCCTCAGGTAATGTGAATGGTTTGTGCTTCTCTGTTAACCTAAAGGTACACAGTTTGAATCCACTAGGTTTACTCAGCAGGAGAAAGATGTGCAGTCTCCTTCAGAGTGGGTTCCTGCCTCTGAAAACCCTCTGGAGGGTCAGCTGTGAATTGCCTCTGACTCAATGGCACACAACAAAAATGGTATATAACCTGGAGATAAATTGTTCAAAACCAACACATGGCCTCAAGAGAAAGGGGTGAATCGTTTTCAAATTGTCTTATAAGCAACTTGCAACTCTTTCATCTTTCCCTCACAAACCCGTCTCCAGCCCTGATACATCGCTTCTCAGGGGCTGGTGTCCTTGGCAACAGCATCCTGGTCACTGTTCTCACCCTCCCCTCCAATCTTTCAACATATCTCCTACCTCTTCAATCCATCCACTGCTCTCCACCTCAATGGCCACCTGGCCCAGCCATCATCTCTCAGACGCCAAATACATCTTCCCTAGGCTCAGTCTCTGTCTCCCTTCAATCCACCTGGCACATATTAGGCACACTGGCTGCTTCAGACAGCAACCCAGATCACAATGAATCACGATCTTTGTTCATGCTGTCCCTCCACTCCCTTACCAATTAGACACACACTTGCCTCCTCCTTTTCACTTAGTTAACGGCAATGCATTCCTGAACTCTGCTCCAGCACAACCTCTTCCAGGAAGACCTCCTAGATTTTCCCAACAAGGTCAAATCCTCCACCACAGCCTTTCACTGGCGTATAGAGGACCTTTGTGATCAGGTGACTGTTTTTGTGATTTCTTGACCATCGTTGGTCTCTACAAAGACACTGAGCAATGAGAAGGCAGGATCACATCTGCTTTGCTGACCACGTTCTTCCACCCCAACTCTCTCTGCACTGTGCAAAGCAAGTGCCAACACCATTTGTTGTGCTAATAAGCATTTAATGAAAGGACAAGCTGGGCCCCAAAGCTAATTCCAAACCACAGATGACCCAAGGTGGCTTTGATCTCCACATTCCTAGACCTGGGCTGTGGCGAGGTAGGGGCTGCCAGCCTGGATAGATTCAGGGAGGAGGGGCCAGATGGAGAAAGATTAAATTCCAGAGCCCACCACCAGGTGGCAAAGTAGCTCTTCCCTCAGGGGCTACTGGAGAGAGGGCCCTAGCTTTACAAACTAAATTGTCTCACTATGTGGGAACACAGAAAGGGGCGAGAGAGTCACGACTTCCTTAAAAAGTAATAAGCTCCCGGGCTTTGGTTTAAAAACAACCAAAAAAACCCCAACAACACTTGAGAGGGTCTAGGTTTTATGACAGCTGTTGTTGTTATGTGCCATCGAGTCGTCTGCAACTCATAGCCACCCTATGTACAACAGCCCTTAACTCTGTCCTATCCTGTGCCAATCTCACCATCTCCGACACACCTACCTCCATTACCCCAGTCACTGAATCAATCCACCTCATAGAGGGTCTTCCTCTCCTGCGCTGTCCCTCCACTCTCCCAAGCATGACATCTCTCTCCAAGGACTGGTCATCCTTACAACATGTCCAAATTATGTCAGATGAAGCTTCAGAATCCTTGCCTCAAGGAGCAGCCTGGCTTCACCCTCTCCATGACAAATCTGCTCGTTTTCTTAGCAGTCCATGGTATATTCAATACTCTTCTCCAACACCACAGCTCAAAGTCATCAATTCTCCTTCTATCCTCCCTAGTCATTGTCCAGCTCTCTGATGCATAACAAGTGACTGTAAAGGCCATGGCATGTATCAGGCGCACCTTGGTCTCCAGACTGACATCGTTGCTCTTCAGTACTCTGGAGAGGTCTCTAACTGCAGACTTTCCCATCACAATACTTCTTTTAATTTCCTGGCTGCTGGTGCCAAGAGTGTTGACTGTGGAGCCAAGCAAACTAAAGCTGTAAACAATCTCGATCACCATCCAACATGATGCTGCTAATCAGCCTAGTGGTGAGAATCTTTGTTTTCCTGATATTGAGCCTCCAACCATACTGAAGACTGCAGTCCCTGACCTTCCACAGGTCCTTCCTTCAGGTCCTCCTCAGTTTCAGCAAGCAGGGTTGTGTCATGTGCATAACACAGATTGCTGATTGTTCCTCCAAGTCTGATCCCACATTTCTCCTCATAAAACCCAGCCTCCCGGATACTCTGTTCTGCATACAGGTTGAAAAGGTATGGAGACAGGATGCAACCCTGGCATACACCCTTCCCAATTTTGAATCATGCAGTGTTTCCCTGCTCTGTTCCGACGACTGCCTCCTGGTCCAAGTATAGGTTTCGCATTAGCACAATCAAGTGTTCTGGGATTCCCATTCTTCTCAGAGTCAGCCACAGTTTGTTATGATCCACACAGTCAAATGCCTTTGTATAATCAGTGCATCAGGATTGGAGGGACATTCACCAATAACCTGAGTTATGCAGATGACACAACCTTACTTGCTGAAAGTGAGCAGAATTTGAGATACTTGTTGCAGAAGATCGAGGAAAGCAGCCTTTAGTATGTTTGTTTCTCAATATCAAGAAAACAAAGATTCTTACCACCGGACCATTGAGCAGTGTTATGATGGATGGAGAGGAGATTGAAACTGTCAACAGCTTCATCTTGCTTGGATCCACAATTAACACTCTTGGTATGAGTAGTCAGAAAATGAGACATATTGCACTGGGAAAATCTGTGATTAAGAACCTTTCCAAATTACTGAGGAATAATGATGTCAGTTTGAAGACTAAGGTGCACCTGATTCAGGCCATGGTCTTTCCGATTACTAGCTATGCATCTGAGACCTGAACAGTAAAATAAGGATGACAGAAAAAGAATTGACGCCTTTGAGCTGTGATGTTGGAGAAGCACACTGAACATCCCATGAACAGCCAAGAGAACGAACAGATATGCTGTGGAGATGGTGCAGCTGGAGTGCTCTTCGGAGGCAAGAACGATGAGGTTTCACCTCACATACTTTGGACATGTTGGTAGGAGCTGCTATTCCTTGGAGAGGGACATGATATTGGGGAGGGTGGAGGGTCAGCAAAGGAGAGGAAGACCCTCGACCAAGGGGATTGACATGGTGACTGCTGCAATGGGCTCTTGTGTGTCTGGAAGTGTGAGGATGGTGCAGGACAGGACTAGGTTCGGGTCTTTTGTTCATAGGGACGCTATGAGTCGTACTTGACTTGACAACACCTAACAACCACAACAGCAAACAATAAGATGTTAAGAAGCAATGATGTCAGTTTAAAGATTAAGGTACACCTGATTCGAGCCATGTTCTTTCTAATTATTTGTTACACATCTGAAAGTTGCCCAGTAAAGAAGGATGATAGAAGAGTTGATGTTTTGAGTTGTGGTGTTAGAGAAGAGAACTGAATAGCTCATGACTGCCAATAGAACAAACAAATAAGTCTTGGAGAAAGTGCAGCCAGGACACTCCTCGGAGGCAAGGATGGCAAAACTTCGTGCCACTCATTTGGGGCCTGTTGTTAGGAGGGGCCAGTTCTTGGGAAAAGACAACCTGATTAGAAAGGTGGAGGTTCAGCAAAAGAGAGGAAGCCCCTCAACAAGATGAATTGACACAGTAACAATAGCAATGGGTTTAAACATGTCAGAGATGCTGAGGACAGCAGAGCATAGGGCAAGGTTCAGATCCATTCATAGGGTCTCTACAACTTGTAATTGACTCAATGGCACCTAACAACAAACGGCAACAACAAACATTAAGAGAACAAATGTTTGCTAGAGCCATCTACCATATCCTCCATGCATACCATGTCATCCCTGTGATAGCAGCGCTACACATATAAGATGATCACTTAATTGCTAATTATACTCCACCATATCTTTCCAATCCGTATGGGGAACAGAGTGTCCAGGAGGCTGGGCTCTATGATGAGAAGTGTGGAATCAAGATTGGAGGTAAACTCATCAACAATCTGCATTATGCAACCCTGCTTGCTGATACTGAGGAGAACCTGAAGCACTTGCTACAGAAGGTCAAGGGCTGCAGCCTTCAATATGGTTTGAAGCTCAACATCAAGAAAACAAAGATTCTCACCACTAAGCCGATGGCAGCATCATTATGGGTGATGAAGAGATTGAGATAGTTGACAGCTTCAGTTTGCTTGGCTCTACAGTCAACATTCTTGGTACCAGTAGCAGAAAATGAAAAGATGAATTGCATTGGGAAAGTCTACTGTCAGAAACCTCTCCAAAATACTGAAGAGCAATGATGCCAGTCGGGAGACGATGCACCAGAAAACTGGACAATGAGTAGGGAAGATAGTATGAGAGTTGATGACTTTGAGCTTTGGTGCTGGAGAAGAGTACTCAATATACCATGGACTGCTAGGAGAACAAACAAGTTCGTCCTGGAGAGGGTGAAGCCAGGCTAGTCCTCGGAGGCAAGGATTCTGAAGCTCCATCTGTCATACTTTGGACATGTTGCAAGGCGGGATCAGTCTTTGGGGAGGGACATCATGCTTGGGATGGTGGAGGGACAGCGCAGGAGAGGAAGACCCTCAATGAGATGGACTGATTCAGTCACAGGGGTAATGGTGTAGGTGTGTCGGAGACAATAAGATTGACACAGGATAGAGCAGGGTTTAGGGCTGTTGTACATAGGGTCACTATGAGTCGCAGGCAACTTGACGGCACATAACAGCAACACAACAACAACTCCACCTGGTAACTGGCACCTTTGAGGTTTGGCTGAGTGCTCACGAGCCAGCCTTCCCCATCTGACAGGTAAGGCCTGAGGTCAGGCAGGGGGCTGGCAACCCAAGGTGGATGTTTCAGTGACCTGAAAGTTAGGGTATCCAAATTCCAGGGGAGGACCAGGGAAGGGAAACAGGAATCCCAGCTGCCTTGCCCACCCCCTGGACTGCCCAAAAAGGAGAGCAGAGACTGCCAGGATTCCAAAACTCTTCTTCACCCCAATTTTCAGATGAGGAAACTGAGGCTAAGTACATCTAAGGAACTCCTGGGACAGCACACAACCTTTAAGGTATGGAGTTGGCTCACCCACTATACTAATCTTCTCATTCAAGAAGTGAGTAACTGAAAAGGCGTAGCTGAAGCCCAGAGAGGTTAAGTGTGTAGTGACAGACACACAGGACCAGACTCACTGCCCAGTGCTCTTACAATCAAGGGAAGATGCTGAAGGGGAGCGGGTCCCAATTCCAGGTCTTCTCCAGTCCATACCAGCCCATCTACTCAAAGCCCTCTTCGGCAGCTCACCTCTGAATTCCTCATCAGTCAGACGCTTTTTGTGGGTCAACAAGAAGGGGAGCAGTCCGTCCAGGTCAGCAGTGGAGCCTCGGGACACGATGTCAAAGAGGATGGGCCTGTTGAAGACTTTGAGGATGGGAGGCGGCTGAGGGGCGGGAGCTTTGGTGTTCTGCGGCTGCTTCCTGGGGGAAGAGGAGACACCGGTGATGGGGGACACATCCTGGAGTCTGTGAGATGAGAGGACAGCTTGATGTCCTAGGAAGGGGGACAGATTTAGAAAAAAGGGACAGTGGAAGGCATCCTTCAAACACTACCTACAGCCTGCTGTGTGTTAGATAAGATAGAGACAGAAACTCACTCATCTATTTGTTATTTATGTGCCATTGAGTCAGAACCGACTCACAGCTGACCCTCTAGTGGGTTTTCAGAGACAGTTCTTCCTCCCACAGAGAAACATTCAAACCACGTGCCTTTGGATTGGCGGCGAAGCTCCTTACCACATGGCCACCTGAGCTCCACACAGAGGCTGGAAGAGATAAGACAGAAAAGATAAAAAGAGAAAAGCAGAATGAAACAGAAAGTACCTCTTTCATTCATTCACTCTCACTCATCCAGTTTTTCATCCAGCTACCGACTGAGACATAAGAACACACGCACCGGCCAGCGACACGCGATCAAATTCAATGTCCCTCTTCCTGAGCTCCTGCAGTGTACACAGGGCCCGTATGCAGGTGGGAGACACACAGAAGCAAGAGGAGGAAGGATATGCGCAGAAAAGGGCTGGCAAATGGAGTCAGATGGAGAACGACAGGACAAAAACCCTAGCCCACCACCACTGAATCCTTCCAGACTTGTGGCAACTCCATGGGTTACACAGGAAAATGGCCTCAGGAGCTTATTTTGACTGCGAGCTTCATGGAAGCAGACAGCCAGGTCTTACTTCCACGGCACAGCTAGGTAGGCTAAAACCCCACACCTTTATGGTCAGTAGTGGAGCACAAAAAGTGTTGTCAAGAGTCATCAAGAAAGAGAAGGAGAGGATAACAGCTTCCAGGAGAAAGAAGGTGGGCACCGCGCCTTCAGCCACCAGCAAGCCAGGCCCTTTCCTCTCCATGAGACATCCTTTCTCTCCCCTTTCGCATCCCTTCGACTGGGGCTTAAACGTCACCCTGCCCCAGCCCTCCCAGCCCGCCTGTTCTCCGTTAACCTCCTTCCTCTACACCAGCGCAGCAGAGACCAGGATGGTGCTGGATTGAACAGGATTTTATTTCATCATGTACCGGGAACCAGTTCAACGACATCTAACAATAAGAGGGTGCTACATTCTGAAAGAGGATAAGCTGGGAGAGGAGCACCAGAGGAGCAGGAGGCGCCTCCCTTGTGTTCTCCATTCAGCCTGTGCGTGGCACATGCAGGGACACAGTCTGAATCTGTTCCGTGGAGGTCATCCATTGCCATGGGTAGATTCCCTGCTGGCTGCCCCGTATGTGCAGAGTGGAACTGCTCTGTAAGTTTTTTCCCAAGGCTGGAACCTTCTGGAAGCAAATGGCCAGGCCTGGGTTCCTTGGCACCTTCAAATGAGTTTGAACTAGCAACCTTTCAGCTAGCAATCAAGTGCTTTAAAGGTGTGTGCCACAAGGAGGGACTCTTGTTAAAAGAATAAAGGGACAGAGAAGGAGGAAGCCAGGGGCAGAGAGGAAACCATGCCACAGAGTTCAGGGTGTCTGGGAAGCGGGATGAAGTCTCAAAGACTGAAGCCAGGACAGGCTGGTAGGGTAGGAGGGCTGGGGCAGCAGGTACTCACCTGCCTCTCCGTCTTAGGAGTCTTCAGCATCAGTAGTAGGGAAGGTGTTCTCCCTCCAACAAGGACATCAAGGCTGGCACAGGCCCTTAGGAGGTACCCTAGCCAGCTCCTATTTCACCAACTCCTACACTTCGATCTCCCTCACCCCATACCACAGAAAGAAAGAAGGGGGAAAAGAGCTATGATGGTGTAGTGTGTAGCATGTTGCACGAAAAAGGTGGTGGTGGGTCAACAACTGGATGAATTGTTCACACGATGGAATACAACACAGCACACAGGAGCAATGATTTTGTTAATCACTACCTAACTTGGGAAGGATTGGAGAACATTACATTATGCTGAGTGAACTAACTCAGTCCCATAAGGACAAATACTGTAAAAGACTATTACAGAGGAAGTGGGGCAGGTAGGGAGGAAAATGTGCAACAATGAATGAATGGAAAGCCAAGTTTTCTCTAAACTTTCATTAAAATATCAATTAAAAACAATAATAACCAAAAAAAGACCGTTATTGTAGAACATGAATGAGGATCTAAGGGGAGGAGGGTGGGAGCAAAGGGGTGAGAATGGGCGGGGATGGAGGGGCAAGGCAATCATAGAGTCACACAATTTGATTGGTAGAGGAAAGGATGAGTTGAGGAAATGGAAAAGATCCAGTGTGTAAAACAATGTATATAAACTTTGCAAGTTGTTGTTGTTGTTATGTGCCGTCAAGTCGCTTGAGACTCATAGCAACCCTATGTACAACAGCCCTAAACTCTGATCCGTCCTGTGCCAATCGCACTGTCTCAGACACTATCATCCCAATTATCCCAGTCACTGAATCAATCCACCTC